CTGACTCCGAGTCCTCGAAACGTGTGAGCGACTGCCCTTCAAGGAGCCGGGCCTGTGACAGAACGTGCTGGGGCCTGAGGCTCTGCCAGCTGGAAATGTCCACATCTGTCCTGAGAGAGGGGGCTACTGAGGTCAGGGCAGGGGAGAAGCGAAGGCGAGGGGGTCTGCAGGAGAGCCTGGGTGCACAGGGTAGGCTCAGGGCACACAGGAAGCAGCAGGAGAGCAGAGAACCCAGAACTTCCTGCCTAGGTGGCAGCGGCTGCCCAGCAGATGGCAGCCACGGGCTATGTGCCGGGAGGCAGCCAAGGCGCAGGGGACCCTGGGCCTCCTGCAGGTCGGGACAGGTGGTCCCCAGCTGAGGAAGGGGCAATGGGCAACAGAAGTAGGTCCTTCCAAGTCCCCCAGGATCCTCTTTGGCCACTACTGCAGGAAGTGACATTCACCAAGGGTGGGCCTGGAGGGGGCTGATCTGACCGAGGGAACAGGAGCCAATTCCAGATGGGGACGTGGCAGTCTGCGGTGGTGTCTGCAGCGGTGAAGGTGACTGCGCCCACCCTTGGAGCTGTTTATTTGAGTCTTGCTCCCCACACACCTGGTACCCCTCGTGCCCAATGTCCTGGAGCCTGTCTCTGGGAAGTTGCAGGTGCCAACCGTGCGGGTCTGCATTGCTTCTGCTCCCTCTTCTCTGGGGGTGTGTTCTTGCTAACTCTTGTTCAGAAGCACCCAGTGATGACAGCTGCCTCCAGGCAGCACTGACTGTGTCCCAGGCACCCTGCATTATTTCACTCAGCCCTTTTACAGGTGAGGGACTGGGGTTCAAAGAGGCCAGGGCCACAGCATGGCCAAGGCGGGTGGGAGCCCCAGTCTCTGGGACGCCCATGTCAATCACACCGCTGCCCAGTGTGCTCGCTGTGTGTGGGCTGAGCGGGCCGGAGGCCCCTTGCTCCTGCTCCAGAGGGCCCAGGTAGGAAAGGATATCTGTATTGCAGCTTCTTGATGAGCTCCTCAGGGGTGATGAAGGTCCGGTAGGTGGTCAGGAAGGCCTCGCAGTACAACACCAAGTCTGGAGGGAAGAGCAGGGCATGCTGTCAGGGTGTGGGGTGGGCGACAGGGATGCAGAGGGGCGGGAGGGCAGCGAGGGGAGTGGAAAGGGCCACAGAGCTACGGGCTGGGAGCCTGCTCTGCTGCCACCACCTGCGTGTCCTGGGGGGTGGTAATCTGTCCTCTCGGTCCATCTCTCAAAGGAGAGGGTGGTTCCGAGTCAGGAAATGTGATCGGTTTCTCTTGCAGACTCATCCTACTGATGACAGCACTGCCTGGAACCCTGCTATGGGGCCAGGTCAGATCTGGTTCCAGCAGGAAAGGGAATGTTGGCGATGAGTGGTGTCTGCCCCGGCGAGGGACAAAGCGGGAGCCTGCCTGTGCACCCCTGGAGCAGATAACGAGAGGCTCTTCTGTCCCTGGGCTTGATGCCTCCGAGGGTCTCAACCATCACAGGCATAAAGTCTTCAGTTCAGACGTGTCAGCCAGGTCTTGACGCTAAAGCACAGGCAGTACTTGGACTGGGTGGCAGCTCCAGCCCATCCCTGCCCTTCCCTTGGGAGGGACTGGTGCCATCCAGGGCGCCCAGCCTGGCCAAAACCACAACTGCCTGTTTGCAGTGGTGACTCACCCTCCCAGCCACACTGCCTCTGACATCAAAGAAAAGAAAATGGAATTATTATTATTTTCTCGAGTTGGAGACTCACGCTGGAGCGCAGTGGCATGATCAGGGCTCATGGCATGATCAGGGCTCCTAACCTGCTGGGTTAGGAGATCCTTCTGCCTTAGCCTCCCGAGTGGCTGGGACTACAACAGGCGTGCACCACTACGCCAGGTAATTTTTTGATTTTTTTGTGAAGACAGGGTCTCCTCACTAGGTAGCTCAGGCTGGTCTAGAACTCTTGGGCTCAGGTGATCCTTCTGCCTCAGCCTCCTGAGTAGCTAGGAATACAGGGGTGTGCCACCACACCTGGCTAATTTTTAAAATCTTTTGTATAGACGAAATCTCGCTACGTTACTCAGGCTGGTCTTGAACTCCTGGGCTAAGATGCTTCTCCTTCCTCATCGTCCCAAAGTTCTAGGGTTACAGGCATGCGCCATCACGCCTGGCCCAAGTGGCATTTTTACAATGCAGGCCACGGCCTAAGACGCACGAACAACCAGGCTCTCCACCTGCAGCTGCAGCAGGTCCTGGGGCACCGCAGTCCACTCCTGAGGGTGAGGCTGGGCACATGCACACTGTGTGAATCCAGGGTTCTAGGCACAGACCATCTCCTGCATCTCCTCTCTCCTTCCCACACTGCTGGGTGGAGGGACCTCGAGGACCCAGGTCTCCAGCTGAGCCGTGTGGCTTGGCAGGCGCGTGACACCTTGCTCCTGCCCCTGCCCTTGCTCCTTCATCTCTGGGCCTCATGAGAGAAGAAATCCTCACCTGTTCCTGCACTGGGAGGTGCGTGGAGTGGGGCCAGCCGGTGAGAGGGGCTCAGGGCTGGGAATCACAGCAGGGTCCACCTGCACTGTGCTCGGGCTCATTCCTGGGCCCCCAAACCCGCCTGGCTCACTGTCAAACCTGGATTTGTGTTCAGAGTGGCTAGGTGAGGAAGCAGCAACGGGACCAGCACAGACCAATGCCTGTTTCTGTTGGAATGGGTCCAAGTCTACCCGCCTCTGCAGGGGCTTCATTGCTAGGAGCCAGGACTTGCTGGTGGGCACTGGGCCACACTCTGAACACAGGCCGTGTTCTTCAGTGCCCTGAACAGTCCCGTGAGGGCCAAGGTACTTTGACTCCTCTTGAGACGAGGGGCCTAGGCCGCAGTGTAGTGGGGTTTGCGTTTAGGTCTGCCTGATCCCAGAGCTCTCAACCACCTGTGTGCCCTGGGTTATGGCAAATGGGCCATCACCTGACATCTGGGATGGGTGGTGCCATGCCACTTCGAGTGTCCACGTGGCTCTTGGATCAGCCCGCAGCATGTTCTGTGCTCTGGCTCACCTGACTCTTCCCATAGCCCCGAAGGTCAGGTGTCATGGTCCCTCATTCTCCTCCTGAGGTATTGGAAGCTGGAGGGATGGACAGGATCTGAACTGAGCCTGAGGCCAAGGCCGACCTGACCCTCATCCATGCAGTTCCTGACACACTGCCCAAGAGCAGAGTGGCGTGGTGACAATGTGCCCCCACATGCCTCTTGCCCGCTGAGTCTGCTGGGTGGGCTGGTTCCGCACGCCTGAGCCTTGGGCCTCTTGGCTGCTAGTGCTGCTGGGGTCATCTCTGGCCTGCAGGAAGCCACTGCCATAGAAGCCTGCTCTGTCATCTGCTGCAGGTGCCTCTCCCCTGCTAGTGCAGCCTCTGTAATACTTCCTAGATACCACCTCGGTTCTGCAAAGTCTCAAATCCCTCCATTAATCAGGTCAGGCGAAGATCCTGCAGGCACAGAGCCTCCTCTCGGGAGGTTCAGTCAGCACAGGCCGGGAAGCCTCTTGGGCTGCCCTGCCCCAGTGGGGATCCCCTGGCCACAACCGGCTGGGCCTGCAGGACGGTGGAGCTCATCCTTCAGGACTGAGGGCCGGATCCAGCTCCCACTCCAGTCCTCCATATTTAGACAAAAATGAAAACGGCTTCCATGCCCAGCTGAGGCCAGAGTTTCAACGTGTCTGCACAGAGGAGGACTTCTTGCAGACAAGCTGAACGAGGGTGCTCTTCAGGATGGCAGTGAATGCATCCTGGGCACTGCTTACGTGTCAGGCAGGTTTCACAGTATCTCACTTAATCTGCTCACAAACGGGGCACTGGGCACCCCTTAAAGAGCTGAGCTGGCTGAGGTTGAGAAGCAAAGGGACTTCCTGGTGGCCCGCATAGCCTCTAATGGCATGGCTGACGTTGGAACCCCAAGTGTCCAAAACTGGGCTCTGCCTGGTTGGAACAAGCAAGGGGAGAAGGAATGGTGGAGCGGGGAGAACAGGGCTGCAGCGAGTGTGTGGGAGCTGTTTCTTTTTTGCTCTATTTTTTCTAATTTTCTGTAGTGTAAACTTGTTTTGTATTACTCTCATAATCCAGAAATCCCTAGAATCACTCTGGATAACATACTTCGGGAAATCTGTTGCAAAAATGTAGGGATGGATGGAGTCTTTTACAGAAACAAAGGTGGCTGGGCCAGGGTTTCAAGATGGGGTGCCTGACTCCCTCCACAATTTCCTCTAACGTTGTTCTTACATCATCTTGGAAACAATTCTTTGAAATGTAAAGAAAACTAGTATGGCAAGCTGGGATGTGGGGTGGGCACCGGCCCCCTGAGGTGTGCAGTGAAGGCTGGGGTGGCTGTGCCTGGCCCAGTCACTGGCACCTCCCTCCCAGAACTCAGCTTGGAGTCACGGCTCTTTCGTGACCAGAGTCCACGCAACAGGATATAGGGATCGGGACAGTCCCTACTCTTCCCACTCTCAGACGAACACCATTGTGAGTGGGCAGCAAGGTGGGGCCAGCTGTGTGCTGAGCCGTGGGAACTGCAGCCTGTGAAGGATGGTGACGCCACTGCTAGAGAATCAAAGGCTCCTGGAATTTCCTAGCGGTGTATAAGAGTTAAATTCAGTCTAATTCTGGAATCATATAGTGATTCCGATATCAGAAAGGCCTGAGAAGCCACCCCTGCTGGGCTGGGTGTTGAGGCTTACACCTGTAACTCAGCACTTTGGGAGGCTGAGGCAGGAGGGTCACTCGATAGGAATTTGAGACCAGCTTGGGCAACATAGTGAGACTCCATCTCTACAAAAAACTTTAAAAAGTAGCTGGGCACGGTGGCACATGCCTGTAGTCCTAGCTACTTGGAAGCCTGAGGCAAAAGGATCACTCAAGCCCAGGAGTTTGAGGCTGTGGTGAGCACTCTAGGCTGAGTGATGGAATGAGACCTTATCGCTAAAGAAAAGAAAAAAAACTACCCATGTGTGACCTTACTTTTAATACTATTAGCCAACATACTGCCATCCACGGAGTGCTTACAAGCACCAAGTGCCAGACAACCTTGGGGTCACCACCAGCCTGCACTGATGAAGGACAGACACTGAACAGGCCCCGCCTTTAACATAGTCTCCCGGTCTCCCAAGGTGGACTCTCCCTGCTCTGACCCAGCAGCACCAGGAACGCTGTTCAGACCCGTGCATGGCTGCTGCCAGTAGGGGACAGGACAGCACTGGAGGCCTGAGCAGCACCTGCAGCAGGACCAGCCTGACCCAGGGAGTTCGCTGACCGCGGGGAGGGCTGTCTTACCTTTCCTGTCCGTCTCAGTAGCATGAACCAGCAAGATGTCTCCAGATCCTCCACGGACGTCTGGTCCATCGTCACCCTGTAACAAAATGGCCCAGGAGGGCAGGAGCAGAGTCAGCTGGGGAAGAAACAGGCAGGGATGATGTGACAGAGATGCTGCAGTGTGGGGAGCTGAGTCCCCTCCCTTTCCACTCCTCAGCCCAGGGACAGTGAGGCCGTGCTGTGATGCCCTCCAGCCCACCTGCTGTCTGTGCTTGGCCACAGGCACACACTGGACTGTATTGGGAGCTGGGTGGCCTAGAAGCTGACCCGGCACCACCGGCACAGCACTGTTTGAGGACACAGGAAGCCAGGGACACAGCGTCATCCATCTTCCCTGGCTCACTGACCCACAGGGTCAAAGGTGAGGTGAGCATCCTCACAAACAGGGCAGGGTGGGGCCCCACGCAGAGGCAGGACAACCCCTAGCCTCGCCCAGGAGGCCCCTGGAGGCAGCGGGACAATCTCCAAGCACGTTCATGCTCCCACACTGCAATAAGCAGCTCTACATCTGAGCCTGTCCCCTAGCTGGAAGCAGGAGACACTTGCACTGTCACAGGTTCTCCCTCGGAGCTATTCACTGGGAGTGCAAAGCGTCACAGGGATGCTCAAGGACATCTGAACATCATGCACCAACTGCCAAGTGGGGAGCAAGCCTTGCTTTCACAGGGGCAAAAGGAGGCTGTAACCACCTGGCCTGCAGCCAACACCTGGGCCCATCCCACCCTCAACTCCCCTGGCTCTGTAACTCCAAGGGGGCCAGACCCAAACCTCCTCGAGCCCCTCTTCCCGTAGCACACACACCAAGACTCCCGGGCTTTTTTAGGCATCAGTATTTGACCCCTGACTTCAGAGCCCCGAGAGTGTTTTGGGTTTCCCTCTAGGAGCCAGGGTTATCTATGTCCCTGACCTGACTTTATTTTATTTTATTTGTGTCGGAGTCTCACTCTGTCACCCAGGCTGGAGTGTAGTGGCACACTCATGGCCACTGCAACCTCCACTTGCGGGGCTCAGGCGATCCTTCCACCTCAGCCTTCCAAGTAGCTGGAACTATAGGCACGTGCCACCACGCCTGGCTAATTTTTTGATTTATTGTAGAGACGAGGTCTCACCAAGTTGCCCAGGCTGATCTTGAACTCCTGGGCTCAGGCACTCTAGCCTTGGCTTCCCAAAGTGCTGGGATTACAGGTTTAAGCCACTGTGCCTGACCTTCTGACGTCATTTTAAAGGATGCATTCAGCCAGGTGCAGTGGCTCCAGCCTGGGTGACAGAGTGAGACTCTGATTAAAAAAAAAACAACAACACATTATTGGCAAGGATCATGAAATGTCACTTCATTCTGCAGAGTGGCCCAGCTGTCCGAGTATCCCCACCAGCCCTGCCTGCTCCCCAGCGGCCCAAGGTGTGGGTACCTTCCTGGGCTGCCCCTTGCGACGCCTGGAGTCAGCTCAGCCTGGCGCAGGAGCATGGACGGGGCACTGACTGCCCTTCTGTCCATGTGACTGTCATCAAATCAAAGCCCAGAAACAGTCACCTCCTGGGGGGCCAAGGCTACTGCTCCTTTGCATTTCTGGAACTGCACAGCAGAGTCTCCGGAGAGCCAAGGACCTCTCAGCTCAACTTCCTCTTTTTTGTGACAGACTGGGGCATTGTTTTCACCAGTGAGGCTTTGTAGACAAGGCACAGAGTGAAGGAAGCCACAGTGGTCAGGCCTGAATTTCCTTTTTTTGGGAGAGACAGGGTCTCACTATGTGATCTTAAACTTCTGGGCTCAACCGATCCTCCTGCCTCAGCCTCCCAAGCATCTGGGATTACAGGCTTGAGCCACTGTGCTCGACTTTGATTTTTCTTAATCAGTTGGTGTCTCCGAGGTTGAAGCTACAGTGGGGCTATTTCATCAACAAGAAAAATGTCTCATGGGAGTGAGCATTCACCACAGGTAGGCTCTATCTGTGCACCGCACTCACATGGATCTCATCCACATAGCTCCCATCATCTGAGGTTTAGAGATACTACATAACTTGACCAAGATAACTTTCTTTCTTTTTTTTTGAGTTGGAGTCTCACTCTGTCACCCAGACTGGAGTGCAGTGGCATGCTCCCGGCCACCGCAGTCTCGACCTGCTGGGCTCCGGCGATCCTTCCACCTCAGCCTTCCAAGTAGCCAGAACTATAGACTTGTGCTACCACACCCGGCTAATTTTTTGATTTTTATTATAGAGAGAAGGTCTCACCAAGTTGCCCAGGCTGGTCTCGAACCTGCGGGCTCAGGCAATCCATTCACCTTGGCCTCCTAAATTGCTGGGATTACAGGTTGAGCCGCCAAGACCAGCCCAAGATAACTTTCTAGAAGCACCCAGAGAAGGGGGCAGTGGCTGGGCACAGTGGCTCATGCCTACAATCCCAGCACTAGGAGGCCGAGGCAAGAGGATTGCTTGAGTCCAGGAGTTTGAGACCAGCCTGGGCAACACAGCAAGACCTTGTCTCTACAAAAAATAAAAATAAAAAAATTGGCTGGGTATGCTGGTACACTCCTATAGTCCCAGCTACTTGGAAAGTTGAAGTAGGAAGATCGTGAGGGTCCAGGAGGTCAAGGCTGCAGTGAGCCATGATCGTGCCACTGTGCTCCAGCCTGGGCAATAGAGTGACAGAGTGACACTCTGACTCAAAAATAAAAGCAAAAAAAAAAAAAAAAAAGAAAGGAGCAGTACACTTTCCCCTGAAATTCACCCCCTGTGAGAGCCCCCAACCTCCCTTGGGCCTTTCTGCTTGTGACACCTCAAGGTCACTTCCCCTCGGTCCCATGCTCTCCTTGGGGGCCAGACTGTACAGGCCTGGGAAGTCCTCACCTCTTGCTTGAGCGTCAGCCTGGCCATGATTTCATTGTGGTCGATGAGGGACAGCTCGTCCACTTCCTCTTCTGACTGAGCCGACTCCATAGCATCTGGTGACTTTGGGGTCCTGCAGGGAGAAGTGGTTTGTGTTGCAGCATCAGACAGGCCCTGGGAGGCAGTGCCAGCCTGTGCACAGACGTCAGAACTGCTTCCCGAACGAGCCTGCCCTGAATCGAGCTACACCGTCAGGGACCGGATCCCTGGCTCTGCTACTGGTTGGCTGTGGCTTTGGGACCTTTCCTGCTCTGTCTTGATCCCCCGTCTGCACATGGAAGGGATGCCACTGGGATTACAAAGGTCCCATTGGGGTGTTGAGGTAAGCGATGGTCTGGGCCGCTCCCTGCCAAGCCCCACTGCGTGCATGGCCAGCATACAAGGAAGAGAAGTAAACCCCCAAGCAAGATGGAGGAAGGCAGCCTGGCTCTTGAGGCCACTCCTCGAGCCTCCTCTGGGGCCGACTTGCTGTGGGGTCCTTTGTGCAGCACTAAGACAAAGCCCTGAACCAAGCGGATGTGGCCCCTGCTCCTCAGTGGGCTCTGCTAGCGGGAGGAAGAATTTAAAGCAAGTGGCTAGGGCGGTGCGGGGAGAGGGAAGCCCAGACGCCATGAGGAGCACAGGCAGGCCTATGCCTCATCCAAAGGTCAGGGAGGGCCCCGCAGGGGATAGGCGAGCTGAGGTGTGAGGCTCTGAGGTGCTGGAGGACGGGGAGAACGTTCCTCAGGGAAGGACCAGGAGGGTGGCTGGGGAGGGGTCTCCCAGCTTAGAGTATTCTGGGGAGAACAGAAGTTAGGTCTGTAGACACCTGACCTCTCCCTGGCATCTTCTCCCACGTTCTCTGTTTTATTCTGGCTGGTCTTGTGGTCACAGGTCACTTTTTTTTTGAGACGGGGTCTTACTCTGTCACCCAGGCTAGAATGCAGTGGCACGATCAAGGCTCACTGCAGCCTTGACCCCCCTGGGCTGACATCAAGTACCTGGGACTACAGATGCCCACATTATGCCTAGCTAATTTTTTGATTTTGTAGAGACGAGGTTTCACTATGTTGCCCAGGCTGGCCTTGAACCTGGGCTCAAGCAATTCTCCTGCCTCCGCCTCCCAAAGTGCTGGGATTACAGGTGCAAGCTACCACACCTGGCCCACAGGTCACCTTTTTCACCCTAAGTATCTGAGATGTAAAAAATGTGCCTTCAGTAAGAGGACACAGAGGAAGCCCTCCCAGTCCCTGGAAGGACCACTCTGATGCCTGTCTCATCGAGGTAAAGCTGGGATCTGGCCTTGGTGGAAGAAGGACAACCTCCCATAATTGTTTCTAAACAGTCAATGTGTTCACTTTCTTTTTCACAGTGACCACCTGGAACTCTGAAAATGACCCTTTCAGGCCTAATACAGCTGGTGACAGAACCCGCAAGCTACTTCTGCCAGGCACATGGGCCCTGGGGTCCTAGGCGTTAGACTAGAAGACACCATTGCTTGCTTAGCATTTGGGGAAACCTCAGGCTGGGCAGATGCACCAGACAGACCTGACATGATGGTACCAAAGAGTGGCAAGGACGCAGCTGGGCAGGGACCCTCTCATTCTTTTCTCCGGCTACATTTTTACTACCTCTTCAGTCATTCATGGTGAGGCCCGACAATGACAAGTGGCACTGCCTTACTCTGAGATGACCCAAGACCCCAGAGGTGGCCGAGCCTTGACCTGACGAGAGAAGATCACTTTACTACAAAAGTGAAGTCGATGTGAGGCTGCCAGTGGGAATGTCGAGATGCAGATCCAACATGTTGCATTCTGTAAGAGCATACTGGGGAAATTTACTACATATTTCCATACCTGATCAGGTTTGGCATATGCTAATACTGAAAAGTGTTACAAGAAGAGACAGAATGGCTGAATGCAAAGCACAACTCCTGATTGATCCTGGCTACAAAGAATTATGATATACAAGCCATTTTTGGGTTAAGTGAGAAACTGGAACATGACTTGCCTACTGAATGACATGAGATTATTTTCTTAGGCTGTGCACAGTGGCTCATGACTGTAATCCTAGCACTTTGGGAGGTAGAGGCGAGAGGATTGCCTGAGCCCAGGGGTTTGAGACCAGCTTGGACCACTTGGTGAGACCTTGTCTCTACAAGAAATTAGTAAAATTAGCCAGGCATGGCTGCATGCACCTGTGGTTCCAGCTACTTGGAAGGCTGAGGTGGGAAGATTATCTGAGCCCAGCACGTCGAGTCTGCGGTGGCTGTGATGGTGCCACTGCACTCCAGCTCAGGCAACAGAGTTAGACTCTGATTTAAAAAAAAAAATTTCCTTAGGTGTGACCAGGGTATTGTAATCAGGATGTTTTATTTTCCAGGAGAGGCGTGCTGCAGTATTTAGGGGCTGAGTGTCACAATATCCACAGTTTACTTGCAACAGGTTTAGCTGCGCAATACACATATGTCTAGAAATGTCCACAATAACAAGTTTGTGGGGGTGGGGGCGGGAGTCTTTTACATTCCCTATCATAAATCAACTTGAAAGAGACCAAGTCTAAGGAAGCCTGGTCTAGAAGTTGGGAAAGAAAACACAGTAGCATTATGGATAATTTGTAGGTGCAGAAAATCCAGAAGTCACAGCAGACTCTATGTTAAAGCCTTTGAAGGGAGGGACTATTAGTAACATTTCCTGTTTTCCTGCAAATTTCTGTACTTTCCAATAGTTCCTATCCCGAGCATGTACATTTTGGGAATCAGAAAAAAGGAAAGAGGGCCTGTAGTCCCAGCTACTCTGGAGGCTGAAGCAGGAGAATCACTTTAGCTCGGGAAGTGGAGTCTGCAGTGAGGCATAATCATACCACTGCACTCCAGCCTGGGTGACAGCATGACCCTATCTCAAAAAAGAAAGAAAGAAAGTGAGATTGAGGGAGGGGGTGGGAAGAGG